TTGCCTTCTATGAGGAGATAACTGGGTCTGTGGATGAGGGGAAAGCAGTGGATGTGTTATTCCTTGACTTTAGCAAAGCTTTTGATACAGTCTCCTACAATATTCTTGCTGGCAAGTTAAAGAAGTATGGGCTGGATGAATGGACTATGAGGTGGATAGAAAACTGGCTAGATCATCGGGCTAATTGGGTAGTTCCAAAGAGGATGAATCTAGACTGTTCTCAGTGGTAACAGTTGACAGAACAAGGAGTAATGATCTCAAGTTGCAGTGGGGGAGGTCTAGGGTGGATATTAGGACCTCCTTTTTCACTAAGAGGGTGGTGAAGCACTAGAATGGGTTACCTAGGGAGGTGGTGGAATCTCCTTCCTTAGAGGTTTTTAAGGTCAGGCTTGACAAAGCCCTGGCTGGGATGATTTAGTTGGGGTTGGTCCTGCTTTGAGCAGGGGGTTGGACTAGATACCTCCTGAGGTCTCTTCCAACCCTGATATTCTATGATTCTATGAAATTGCCTTCCATGTATGCACACTGCTCCACCGCACCCCACCGGAGTGACAAACCACCCAAACAGTGAACTGGTGTCAGGGGCGGTTGAATTGTAATCCATTTTCAAATCTCACCCATTTCTGTTAAATGTAGTCCATGCCATCCATGGATGACGAAATCATTTCTCCCAAATACGACTGGGGGTTTGAATTCAGTCCAGAAATGTGCCAGAGGGGATGTAAGGGCGATGGCAGTGCAGGTCTGTGTGTTTGCATCCAGCCATAACAAGCTATGTTGGAAGCCTTGAGAAAGCACTGAGCCATGTGTATGCTAACGCAGCATCCTCTTCATTCCCTCATGACTTTTGACCCAATCCCGGGTGCTGATAGCTGCTAACTTTTCCCATGGCAGGAACTCCAGATAGGCAGCCCCATTTCGGGAAAGGCGCATTTTCCAGGGCCACCTTGGTAGCTGAGCAGCCCACTCCGCTCATAGGTGTGCTGTTCAGTCGCCATACGTTTGAATACTTTGGTAGCATATGTGGCTGCTTTCCAAAAGCACATTCGACGCCGGCTGAGCATGTCATTCAACCTCCTCTTGCCAGGGCCTCTGAGATCAGGGGACAGTTTGATAAGGCCAGGCAAAAGGGGGCATGTGAGGTCCTCAAGAAAACAGGGGAGACAGTAGCTCCACTTTTGACAATGTCATTTGGTGGGAATAGTGTCCCAGCCTGTCCTTGAATGTAGCCCCCCGATAAGCGGAAAACCCTGGCATCATGACCTGTCCAGTGCAGCCCACGCCGGCATCCATTGGAGTCTGTGGTCCACCTGGGCCTGCATAGCAATGGAGCAGTACCGTTTGCAGTTCATGTCCTCATGTGCTTCTTGAAGAGGACAAACTATGGGCCCATGAGTCCCATCAATAGCCCCAGTGCAGTCTGGAAACCCCATTCTCTCAAAGTCAGCAATAACTCCACGTTGGGAGTAACTCACACGCCTGACTGCCTCAGAAACTTCTGCCACCACTTTACCCCCAGCCGACCTTCCAACACCAAGCTGGTTAATAATGGCCCTATAGCAGTCTGGTGTAGCCAGCTTCCAGACAGGTATAACAACCCGCCTCTGGGCCGGCGTGGCCTGCCTCATGCATGTCTTTATGCTGGAGGGGCAGGGCAAGCTGCTCACAAAGTGCATGGTGATGTGATCCCACCAGTCCGTGTTTGTGGCCCTGCTTCAGCAGCAGCTATGCCAAGAGTCATGAGCAGCATCAGCCATGTCTGTGTCCTCCTCCTGCTCCATCATTAGCTCTTTGGTGGGCCAGAAAATGCTGCCGGGACATCCACTGGAGTCTCATGGAAGTTCTGCCCGTTTCCTGAAACAGGAGTGACAGTGCAAGCAAGACAAGTTCTTCAAATGGCACCTCCTCATGTTGCTGGCTCCGGTTGCTGGGACTGTGCAGATTAAAATGCCAAGTCAGTAGAATGTGTTAGTGGCTGTTCAAACTTCCTGTAACAGCCGCGGTGGACAGTCAAGTTTTTCCACACAGCATCACGAACAGGGCCGGCTCCAGGCACCAGCTTGCCAAGCAGGTGCTTGGGGCAGCCACTCTGGAGAGGGACGGCACATCCAGCTATTCGGCGGCAATTCGGCGGATGGTCCCTCACTCCCACTTGGAGCGAAGGACCTTCCGCCAAATTGCCGCCGCAGATCGCAATCTTTTTTCTGTTTGTTTGCTTGGGGCAGCAAAAACCCTGGAGCCGGCCCTGACCACGAACAAAGAGCTAGAGCAGCCATCTTTTGGGAGGGAGCTAGGAAGTGTGAGGCAGTGGTCGATTAGCCACTGGGCCAACAGGGCCCGTGCCCAAGGGCCCCGGCCAATTGGGGAGACCCAGAAAAATGGGCTCCCCCGCGTCTGATCCACCTGCCCAACACTCCTGCTGCCCCCGCACCTCAACTCCAGGCACACCAGATCGGGGGGGGGGAGGCAATCCCCCGCACCCTGACCCCATTTCCCCGGCACCCAGTTTTGAAAGTCTTGGCTTAATTGTCTGCAAATGTGCATGGCTGTTGGTGCATGCTGTGTTGGTGCAAGCTGTGTGTGTGTGTATGTGTGTGAGAGCAGATCTGACTCTGAATTGAATGCTTCTCCATCTGGCCTTGAGTCACCTCTATGCAAGCCCACTTGCTTCACTGGGGTTGTGCAGGTAAAACTGGACCCTTTGCACCTTCCTCAAGTTTCTGAACATAAAACTAGATTCCCTTTTGCCCTGGCTTACCCTTCCTGGGCCAGGCAGGGGCTGAACCCGGCACTAACATACCCTCTCCTCTCTGCTCCCTCTGGCAGGAAGTGCCCTGAAGGATACATGTGTATGAAAGCAGGAAGGAATCCGAACTATGGCTATACCAGCTATGACACTTTTAGCTGGGCTTTCCTTTCCCTCTTCCGCCTCATGACTCAGGACTTTTGGGAGAATCTCTTCCAGCTGGTGAGCCCTTTCTTTCCTTTTATTTGGGTTTTCCCACTGGCAGAGGCAATAGCTTGCATTCGATTGCACGTCCCCACACATGGCAGGGGTCCTTTGAATTAAAGGTCATTGTGGGGTTGTTTTTTTTTAATTTCCTCTTGTTTTGTGTGTGGTGATGGAGAGTCCAGTCCATCTGTGGGCTGGGAGATCTAAAACGTGCCTCTGGTAACACAGTGTAAAGCACGTGGGAGCTTGTTGTTTATAGATATTCATCCAAAAGCATCTGGGCTGAAAGGGAGCACCTGGCTGAGTGCAATGGGGCATATTTTCCATGGAGCTGGGCCTGATGTAACCAGTCCACATGCTACAGTTGACAACAGACATAATCACAATCCACTAAATAAATCCCACCCAGGCACATTGGGAGCTGGGACTGCAACCTTTGCCCTTAGTTGCAAGGACAGGGGCTGGCGCTGAAGGAGGACTCACAGCTGGTGGGAATAGCAGGTCCTCTATCTTCTCTGTTGGGGCGTCACTAGAGGGCAAGATCAGACAGGTATACTCACGTTCTACTGAGCCCGCCAGTTTGTATCTGTACCCAGAGCCTGAGACCTCCCGGGGCCAGGGGCGTTTGGATGAGTCTGTTGTGATGATCAGAGTCTGCTCTCCATATCCAGGTTCGACTTCTCAGCCCCTCAAGAGCGTGAGAATCTGTTGTTTTCACGGCCATCCCTCAGACCACTGCTGTAATTGTGGTGGAAGCACCATGCATGCCATCCCAGTGCGCATGCCAGAGGAGAGCCCAGTTGTGCTGAGGTTTCTGGGGATTGTAGCATAACTCACAACCCACTGACACTCACCGCAACATAAGCGATGAGGTGAGGGCTAGCTGGGAGTAAGGTCCTCTCAGTTATGTGAGGAGAACGTCACTCAAAGCCACACCCATCACTAGGAAGAGGCACTAAGACAGCCTAATATCAGAGGGGTAGCCATGTTAGTCTGGATCTGTAAAAAGCAAGAGAGTCCTGTGGCACCTTTAAGACTAACAGAAGTATTGGAGCATAAGCTTTCGTGGGTGAATACTCACTTTGTCAGACGCGTGCTAGGCAGGTAGCCTAGCAATTAGAGAGTAAATAGGCTAGTGGTCTGACCTTCTGTGATGGAACATGCCTCTTCTTTCCACAGACCCTCCGCGCCGCTGGGAAAACGTACATGATCTTCTTTGTGGTGGTCATATTCCTTGGTTCCTTCTACCTCATCAACCTGATCCTGGCTGTTGTAGCGATGGCCTACGCCGAGCAAAACGATGCTACCATGCTGGAGGAGCAGCAGAGAGAGGAGGAGTTTCAGCAGCTCCTGGAGCAGCTGAAGAAACATCAGGAGGAACAAGAGAAACTGGTCAGTGCCACGGGGGCCTGGCCGCCATGGGGATTGGGCGCACTAAGAATGTGGGGCCGGAGTCTAGGTCTGTACTGAAGCTGGGAGCAAGCCACCCGGACCAGGTCGACAGGGCAGGGCTGTAACTAGTGGACTCTGCAGCTCAGGCTACCAAGTGTAGGGGGTTGGGTGGAAAGGATCAAAGGAAGGGGGCACCGAGGGGAAGGGAAGATGAGGAAGAGGAGAGGCACTGGGCAGAAGAGCAAGCTCAGCCAGTGGCAGTGGTAGGGAGGGGTGGGATTACAGATAACTAACAGCCAACGTCATCCCAAAAAATGAGACGAGAGATCCAGGCTATGGGGTCCTCCACTGAAGCTAAGGAGCCCCCGGCACGACAGAGGACAGGGTGCAAACGTGGCTCAGAAGAAGCCTGGCAGTTCTGTATGGCCATTCCCTGCCGGAGCTGGGAGGAGCTTGCAGGGCTGGGCTGAAGTCCCCAAATCCTCATGGCTCCTTTCTCAAAGCAGCCAGTGCCAGGCAGACCTGAAGGAAGTAAAATTAGGGATGTCCAGTCCTACCTCCTCCCACCTCCCTGTTGGACCCACCCCTAGCCACCAGGCCCAGCAGCCTCAGGGGTCCTGCCCACATTGTAAGCAGCAGATGGGAAGGGCCTTCACGGCCTTCTGGCACCATCCTTCACTCCGCTTTGTAATGCAGCCTCTGGGGCTCCAATCCTGGGCTGTAGGGTTGCCAGTTTTGGTTGGAAGTGTTCCTGGAGGTTTCATCACATGACATAATCTTTCATTAAAGATTCATCTTTAATTCCTGGAGACTCCAGGACAATCCCGGAGGGTTGGCAACCTTACTGGTTGCACTGTGGCTGCTCTGCCCTGAGCGGCTTCTAAGCCCCCACTTCCTGCAGCTCGCCTAGGGGGTGTGGTCAGAGCAATAGGGGTGTGGCCTAGGCATCCCCGCACCCTGGTGCTGTCAGGCATTGCAGCAGGTGCACGTTAGAGTGACCCTCAGGCAGGTCTATCTTACTCTGAAGGAATGGCCCAGGACCTGGGGGCGGGGAGGTGGCTTAAGGTCACGTTTGAACCCCCGTCCTCGGTTGTGACAAGGTCTCCTTAGCTGCAGCCTAGGATCTCTTGTCTCATTTGCTGCGTTGCTGTTGGCTGTTAGTTCCCACCTCCCCCTACCACTGCCACTGGCTCAGTTCACTCTTCTGCCCAGTGAGCCTCTCTCCCTCTGCTCTTCCTCGTCTTCCCTTCCCCTCGGCGAGCCCATCCCTTCATCCACTCCCTAAACATAGCAAGCCTGTAAAACATGGGCAAAAGCTTCTCCAGCACCTGACACAGCTGCCTTGCCTGTGTCTGCTCCAGGTACTTGTCATTCTTAATATCCTCTAATCACCATTTTGGCCCTTGCTGGTTTCTTTCCGATTTTTCTCCATGACCCATCCCTGAAAATCTAATTTTTGGTTGGGCAAATGACCAACTTCCTCACTGATCAAGAAAAATGCAAAATTGTGTTTTGCTGTCTCAGTCATCTGCCTCTGATCCCCCAGCATTTGAACCAGGATGTCTGTTTCCAGCCCATGTTTAGCTACTGTGTCCTATGTGGAGATGGTTCACTTTCCCTTGAAGACCTTGGTGTCTGCCCCTCATTGTTCTCTGCAAGGGGGGCCTAAGGTGCAAAGTTCATAGCTGAACTCTAATGCTCACCCACCTTTGGCAAGAGACCTTCATAAGGGCCAAGTGTGCTATCATTAAATACACCCCCAACTTGCTTTCCCCCCACATTCATTCAGATAAGGAAGTGGCTAATCCATGTCCTGCCAAAGGGTCAAGGGTGCAGGGAGTGTGCAGGGTTAGGATGAGGCCATGTCTAGATCTTTGCAATAATAATATTAATCCCATTTCATGCTTTTCATTTTCAAAGCCCTGTCACAACATTAATTAATGAACCCTCCAAACACCTCAATGCAGTTTTATTTATTATTACTCCAGCCTGGAGATGGAGGGAAACTATAAAACTGGGAGAATGATGCTCAGTGCCGCTGGGTGTGAACCAGAAATGCCATGATTTTGTTCCATTCCGAAATGGAATGAACACCAAAATATTGTAAAAAGCAACAGAGGGTCCTGTGGCACCTCTAAGCTCCTGTGGGAGCTTATGCTCCCAATACTTCTGTTAGTCTTAAAGGTGCCACAGGACCCTCTGCTGCTTTTTGCAGATTCAGACTAACACGGCTACCCCTCTGATACTTGACACCAAAATATTGAAATTTCCTGTGAACTAAATTCAGAAAAAATGGTTTGGGGTTGATTGAAACATTTTGTTTTGATAAAATAAAAACGTTTTGTTAGGATTTTAAAACTTTTTTTAAAAAATCATTTAAACACCATTAATTTTCTGCCAAAGAGTTATTTTGAAATTAAAAATGGAAACATGCTGCTCCAAAAAAATGTCAAAATGGGCCATTTCAACGTGATCAAAGTGCTTTGTGTCATGGTGGTGGTGGGGCAGGGGGGATTAAACAAAATTTAATCAGAATCAATAAGTTTCTCTAAATGTGTCCTGTGACAGACCCAGACCAGTGGGGTACAGGAGTCTGGTAGAGGGCAAATATACTGGTCACTGGATGAGTAGTTTTCTGTTCCCTGAGTGACCAGAGCAGGGGCTGCAATAGAGTAATCAGGAACCTGCTAGAACCAGTTAAGGCAGGCAGGTTAATTAGGACACCTGGAGCCAATTAAGAAGAAGCTGCTAGAATCAATTAAGGCAGGCTAATCAGGGCACCTGGGTTTTAAAAGGAGCTCACTTCAGTTTGTGGTGCATGTGTGAGGAGCTGGGAGCAAGAGGCGCAAGGAGCTGAGAGGGTGTGCGTGTGCTGCTGGAGGACTGAGGAGCACAAGCGTTATCAGACACCAGGAGGAAGGTCCTGTGGTGAGACTAAGGAAGGTGTTTGGAGGAGGCCATGGGGAAGTAGCCCATGGAGTTGTAGCTGTCTTGCAGCTGTTACGGGAGGCACTATAGACAGCTGCAGTCCACAGGGTCCTGGGCTGGAACCTGGAGTAGAGGTTGGGCCCGGGTTCCCCCCAAACCTCCCAATTGACCTGGACTGTGGGTTCTTCCAGAGGGGAAGGTCTCTTGGCTGTTCCCCAACCCACATGGTGAATCTCTGAGGCAAGAAAATACACCAATAAGCGCAGGACCCCCCAAGATAGAGGAGGAACTTTGTCACAGTCCATTTGAACAAAAATGGCATTTTTCATCAAAAAAACACTTTGATGAAAAAATGGTGTCCAATGCTAATGCTCACCCACCTTTGGAAAGAGAACTTCATACAAGCCAAGTGTGCTGTCATTAAATACACCCCCAACTTGCTTTCCCCCCACATTCATTCAGATAAGGAAGTGGCTAATCCATGCCCTACCGAAAGGTCATATCCAGCTTCTCTTCCTACCAGAGGAGATGTGCTTCACCACTCTCCTAGTGAAACAGTGTTTCCTAATATCCAACCTAGACCTCCCCCACTGCAACTTGAGACCATTGCTCCTTGCTCTGTCATCTGCCACCACTGAGAACAGCCGAGCTCCATCCTCTTTGGAACCCCCCTTCAGGTTGTTGAAAGCAGCTATCAAATCCCCCCTCACTCTTCTCTTCTGCAGACTAAACAATCCCAGTTCCCTCAGCCTCTCCTCATAAGTCATATGCCCCAGCCCCCTGATCATTTTCGTTTCCCTCTGCTGGACTCTCTACAATTTGTCCACATCCTTTCTGTAGTGTGGGGCCCAAACCTGGACGCAATACTCCAGATGTGGCCTCATCATTGCCGAATAGAGGGGAAGAATCACTTCCCTTGATCTGCTGGCAATGCTCCTACTAATACAGCCCAATATGCCGTTAGACTTCTTGGCAACAAGGGCACACTGCTGACTCAAATCCAGCTTCTCATCCACTGTAATCCCCAGATCCTTTTCTGCAGAACTGCTGCTTAGCCAGTCAGTCCCCAGCCTGTAGCAGTGCATGGGATTCTTCCGTCCTAAGTGCAGGACTCTGCACTTGTCCTTGTTGAACCTCATCAGATTTCTTTTGGCCCAATCCTCTAATTTGTCTAAGTCACTCTGCTTTGAGTTTGGTTTGCTTTGATCTGAGAATGTGCTGAGAGTCAGGTGACCAGATGTCCCGATTTTATAGGGACAGTCCCGATATTCGGGGCTTTGCCTTTTATGGGTGCCTATTACCCCCCACCCCGTCCTGATTTTTCACACTTGCTCTCTGGTCACCTCAGCTGAGAGGGGAGAACTGTTTGCCCACAGCGGTAGCTCTGGGGCCCGAGGAGAAAAGGCACGTCAGCAGTGGGAGAGGCTGCACCATTTCCATTCCCCAAGGAGATAACTCTGGCAGCTGTTACCCATGTCCCTTCCTGTGTGGAACTGACAGGGAGGCAGCACGGGCTGCGTCATTTCCAAGGTGCATCCTGACCTGTTTTCATGAGGAAAGACTAAGCATTAAGCAAAGAGAAATGTGTTATCAAACCATTGCCTCAGTCTCCGCAGAAAGATTCCCTCCCCTCCCCCCAACACACACACACTGCATCCCACTGAGGAAGCTCCCACCACAAAAGTCTCTGGTTTCTTTGCAGTTACGAGACCGTAAATCAAGCGGCAGCTCCCAGAGCAGCAGCGCAGTGGAGAAGAAGACAGGGGACTCTGCCCCAGCTGCGGCTAACAACCAAGGCAAATCCAAAGACTGCAACGGGCGAGTCATACCCAGGGTCATGCTGGAGCGCTCGGCGACGGTTGAGGAAGTATATACTGGTTATGTTTCCTCTCTCTGGTGCTGTCTGTGCATGGCGGGCTGGATTCGTCTCTGCACTGCTGCAGAGCCCAGCAGAGGGACCAAGTGGGGAGAGGTTGGACTTGTCTGTCCTGGGGCTGAAGGGAGCCACTGTCCGAGGGCTGCTCCAATTTATTCTGCTTGCTGCAATGGCTGTGATGGACTGTTACAGCCCAGCAGAACATCTGGGGCTAACACTCCAGCCAAGACCCTGTCCTGTCCCCAGCTCCAATCACTTCCCTTTTATACAGCTTTCAGCCTAGGACATCCCTCAGGAGACTAATGACCTGCCTTTACTGCAGCCATAGAGTCATCTGATGGTTTAAGGAGCTTCCCACAGTAGCCCCAGACCCATCTGGTTATTACCTGCCTAGTTCTTCCTTTTAGTACAGCCCAGGCTGTGCCACGAGGACCCATGTTATTTGTTATGCTGCCCTCCCTCTAAGTGCATTTAACGGACTGCTGTGACCCATGTTCTCATACTATGACCTGCTCTCCTTTTTGTAGCCAAGTCCTGTGGATGAGCAAGGCAAGTCCGATCCTGATCACGTGCTAGCAGGCAGCCAAGACGGGCCTGGTCTCCAGCAGAGAGCAGAGAGCGCAGTCAGCATGATCTCTAACACCATGGAAGGTAGATTCCCGCCCTGATAAAGCAGGGGCTGTGCTGGGTACTGTTCAGCTGGAAAATGCCAAGCTGAGGACATGCTCCCATGTGCCACAGAGAGCTCAGTATGGATTGACTGTAACGCTGACAATCAATGTCAAATCCATAAAGACTCTGAGAAGCAAAAAGGATTTTCAGGACAAATGTTGCTTAATATAAACCAGAGAATAGGAACATAGGATTGGAAGGGACCTGTTGGGTCAGTGAGTGCGGCCCTCGCTATATCGCCCGCAACCCGACATATTATTCTGTGCATAAACTTAGCAAGCTCCATCTTAAAATTAGTGAGGTTGGCTTCCCCCACTGCGCCCACTGGGGTTGGGGTGGGGGGCTGTGCCAGACCCTCCCACCTCAGATGGTTAGAAACCTTCTTCTAATTTCTAGGCTAAATTTATTCCCAGACAGTTTTCTCCCCTTTAGTTCTTGTGCCAACATTCTCCCTCCCTGGGGTTCCCCCCCCCAAGGTTTGCTATCAACACAATTCAGTGCTATCCCAGCTCCAATCTAGCTATGCTATGCTGTTCCCCTCTTCCCCATCCTTTGTCTGCTGCTTGTCTTAGATTGTAAGGCTGTTTAGTGTAGGTCCATGTAGGTCCAATCTCCTCTAGTGCCTGGTCCCCCAAAGTAGCTGCTCAAGAAGTTGCTCCTTTAGTTTAGGTGACAGTAGTGCATGCTCTCCACAGAAAAGCGTGCTGTCAGTCCCTGCTGATAACCTGTGAACAGTGCTTGTTGCCCAAGGCCTTTGAGGCAGAGGCTGTGTATTTTGGTGGCTGTGGCCAGGATTCCAAAGAGATGAGAAAATGAGCACAGCGAGATTGCAAACAGTCATAATATCACTTCAAACCCCAGATTCATCTCTTAGCTCCTGGCCGCCTGGTTCCACGGCCAGGCCCACATGGGACGTTTTTCTTGACTCGAGTAAGATGTCCCATAGACTCCTCGGCAACGGTTTGCATTATGGACCCAGCCAGAGCTGCTATTCAGTCTTTATAGCAAGTGCAGCCAGGAGTGATTCTGTGACTTCCTAAATAAAAGCGCACTCTATTCATTCACTGATTTACCCTCCTGGCTATAGCATGTCTCTTCGACGCCAGCCCTTAGCCAATCCCATCTGGGAACATCAATAGGAAAGCTGCAAGCTGGTCCAGCAAAGGCACTGTCAGTTCGGGCATTCCAGCTGACCCCACGTGCCCTGGGGGACAGGCCCCCATGAAGATAGCCAAGATCCAAAGCGCAGGAAAGGTCTGATAGACCAGGAATAGTTTATTCATTGACTCCTGGCCCTTTCCAGTCCTCTTTGGTTTAGTGGATCAGCTGCATTTCCCCTGGATCTGTTCCATCAGAGATGCAGCTGTTCAACAATCATTGGGGCTGGGCTATTCAGAGGCCCAAGGGAGTTAGGCACTCAGTTGCAGTGGCTGTCTCAGATTGTAAGCCTCTTAGGGCAGGGATCATCTGTTTGTTCACCACATAGCACAGTAGGGTTCAGGGCCAGGAGTGGAGCTCCTGGTTGCTACGGTAATACAAATAAATATATAAATAACCAGTTCAGTGGGATTCGGGTACTGAACTCTCGGCTCATTTGAAAGCCCCAGCTTAGATCAGCTGCATTTTTGAATGTCAGCCCAGCCAAGCTGGGTTCAGACACTTTTCTCCACCAAGTTGTTTTCCTGTGCTGCGGTGGGAAACGTCACATCCTGGACAGGAGCAGACAGGTGTCTGCCAGTGGGTTTGCATACAGCCTAATGAACACATTCTCGAGGACGAAGATAATGCCTGTGTCCCACAGACGCCTGTGTTTCTGTTACACCTTCATGACACCTACCACATCTGTGTGCCCCAAATAGTCCTTTGCACAACCATAACAAAGAGTTTGGCACCCTTTTGCACCCACTCTATGCCCAGTGTCCCAATGCACTAGTCTTGTTGCCACCACTAGCCTGGATCAAGAATCCTCAGCCAAGCTCCCATCTGTTGACTTAGCATGTGACTCTTCTCTGGAGGCGCCTGGGCAATGACACGGGGTCTTTGTCTCTTGTTTTCAGAGCTAGAGGAAGCTCACCAGAAATGTCCGCCCTGGTGGTATAAATTTGCCCATACATTCCTGGTCTGGGACTGCTGCCCTCTCTGGCTGAAGCTGAAGGCGTTTGTACGGCTGATCGTGATGGACCCGTTTGTTGACCTGGGGATCACAATCTGCATTGTTCTCAACACGCTGTTCATGGCCATGGAGCACTACCCGATGACCGAAGAGTTTGAGAACGTGCTAACTGTGGGGAACCTGGTAGGAAATTGCCTGGCTTTGATTTTTCCATTGATCACCCTTTACAGCTCTGCTCCAGAGCTCGGCGAGGGACCTATGAGCAGTGACTGTGGGCGTGTGGACAGCCCCCTGCCGTACTGCAGGGACGGTGCTGAGCAGGGTTGGATTGCAGCGTGACTGCACCAACTCAAGGAAAGCTACCACGAGAGGCATAAGGGGACCAGGGGCCGCCCATTTCTCCTGCTGGAGCTTCCCTGGAGAAGCTCATGTGGCCTGACACCTCCTTGTCAGCCTTGATGCAACTGTGCATCACAGCCCTGTGGGCGAGTCCCAGCCCACTGTAGGGAGCCTGGTCAAAAAGACCACTGCCAGCATGGGCAATTCCAAGTGAAGATGAGACCCCAGACAGCCAGGCTGTCCATCAAGGCACAGCCCTGAAGACTGGTCCTGCCAGCCTGTTCTCTGCCCTGGCAAATCCTGGATGTCAGACACCGGCCTTGCTTGTTACCCGTCTGGGTGTTCACGTGGCTGTGCAGGTGGGATTTCCCAAGGAGTCGAAAGGAGATAGGCACCCAAATCCCACTGGAATCTGTGAAGTAAGCACCTAACTCCTGTTGGCTCCCTGGTAATCCCAAGCCTGAGAAGACCCCGTATTTGTCGCCTAGCTGTGATCTCCTCCCCAGCAAAGCCGGAGTCTGAGCCCAAGCCGCTTCTGTTTACATGTTGCGAGGTGTCCCCATGGCCCCGGGGGGCAAAATGATGATTTCATTCCCTTGTGTCTTCTGAATCGGGTATTTTCTCCTCGCTGGGCTGCACAGGGCCATTTGAACGCTTGCATCTGGACACGGGATCCTCTTAGCTGTCAGCAGAAGCAGGAGACTCCAAGGCACTTTGCTGGGTATGGGGGGGGCCCTGCTGAGGGGCAAATGTTAACATTCCTGTAGCTCTTCACAGACCACTGGAACGTGCCACACAATTGCCATCCTGCCTGGGAATTTCACTGGGTCATGGCCCCAGCCCCCATCAAATTGCTAACTCCCCTTGGCTCCCCTGAACCCCAGGTTAAAATGTTGCCATGCAGTGGAGGATGCATGTTTCACCCACCCATGTTCTCACAAACTCCTCAAGAGGCCAGTGAAGGCCCATCATTTTAAAGGGGGCTACTGATCCTGGTGGCCCTGCAGCCCACTCGTGAGGGTGTGGTACCGGTGGCTCTCTGCGCCCGATCTGCAGAGCAGGTCAGTCTGTTACAGCCCATTGTTTGTCGTAGCAAACCCAGACAAACTGGGGACCTCAAGAGCTGTCCCAGCTGGCGCTAAAGAGCTGGGCTGTAACAGGCTCATTTCCTCTGTGGAGCAGGCACAGAGGGGGAGCTGTCAGGCACACATACCACTATTTCTGGGAGCCTGCCTTGAGACCAATTGGTGTGATGCTCGGAGGCGCTGAGTGCCCGCAGCCCCACAAATGCCCTGGGGTCTGTGTGTGCCGTTCTTTGGAGAATCAGGTTCTAGGCAGACAGACTGGAGGCCACTTTTGGAAATGCTGCAGCCTCAATACACAGCCTGGAAGCTGGACCCTGGCTCTCTGGGCAGGGCGCAGCACAGCGCAGCTCCCAGCTCATGCAGGGCTCAAGACAGCAGCCCCGGAAATCGATTCAGAACTGAGGGGCAGGGCGGCGAGAACAGCGTCCAAGTGTGACTGTAAGGGCAGACTCCTTGGGAACTGCCAGGTCCAGGCAACAGGAGGGGAAGGGAGCACCAGGCAGGAGGAGGAAGAAGGAGCGGTGAGACAGGAGGCTGGCGTTGGATAAAGGGGAGCAGGAGCAGGTGTAGCAGAGATGGAAGAAAACCGCGCTATGCTGGCCAAGAAGGTTGTGAGCTTGATGCCGAAGGTGAGAGACGGCCAGGTGCCTGAGAGAATGGGGCACAACTGAGTGGTACAGCCAGGGGGCTCTGATCCCTGGGCCGAAGGACATGTCATCTGGGCGTCGAGAGTGAGGAAGATACCATCCCAAAACGGCAAAGAGATGAGAAGCCAGCGCTGTGTGAGTGCGACGCTGGGTCTGGCTACACGGCATTTGGGGCGGGAGGGCAGGACAGGCAGACAGGCCTGAGCTAGATCTGATACGAGCCCAGCCCAGACCCTGGGCAGCTTGCCCGCACTAAGGCCTGTGCTGCCGCGGCTTCACTGCTATTGGGCGATGCATGCCCAGTCACCCCCCCATTGCAAGGTAGCCATATCCTGTACGTGTGTCACTGCAAAGCCTGCATTAGCTCCCCCTCCCTGCCCCGTGGCTTTCAGCGTGAGCAGAGCAGGCCTGCATTAGGTGCTACATGGCAGAGAGGCAAGCACCCAGCAATTCTTGTTGTCACCTTGCCGTAAGACCGGGGGGAGCCGCAGGGAACTGGGGTCAATATCTACCTGTTTCCCTTTGTGTGCACAACCCTTGCCATCTCACCCCCCAGAGTAGACTGTGCGTGTCCAGGCACTCTCTGTCCCTGGCTCGCCTTCCATGCAGGGGACCCAGTATGTTATGACTTCACTCCATTTCCCTTTGCATTGGAACATAAAGCAGGCCCCAACCTTCTCCGCCTTCCCTCACATGGCTAGGCTAGTCTCACTCCCAGAGTCTCTGTGCATAGCTGCTGAACGGACACGGAGTGGGGGCCAGCAGCCCTAGGCAGAATGACGCTAGTCACATACCGGCTTTGTATCTGATTTCATTCAGGAAATACAAGGGGATTAATAGACTATTGGGTTTAGCACAGTCTATCCACAAAACCAGCTCTGGCTTTTCCTTTAGTCTATTTACAATCCTCCTGCAGAGGTTAAGTCCAGGAGGACAGCGGGGGGTGGGAGAGGCAGAGAGCCCTGCCAGTGCCTTCCCCAGGCAGGGCTGTGCATGCAGAGAGAGTGAGCATGCTCCCAATGGCCTAAGCATCCACATTGCTGCTGCCAAGCACCCACTCGGCCTTGCCCCCTGCTTGCCACCTCGTGCGTGTCATTCGTGCCGTGGGAGCCCAGGGATTCAAACCATTCTCTCAAGAATCAGACCTCAGCACATTTGCAAACCGCTTGCCTGCAGCAGCAGAGCAGGATGTGATCCTGCTCCAGACCAAGGCCTGCCAGGGACCCCAGCTGCTCCTCACTCTCTCCCCTCCCATCCTGCTTCCCCCCAACCTTATGGAACTCCAGTAAAGGATGGTCCATGAATTCCGAGGTGGGGGAGCATGGCATGAAGCCAGCGCTTCCGCCCGCTGGTGGATTGCCCACGGGAGTTACATACACCGTGTGCCTAGACTCAGGGCACAGACGTGACTTTGTGGGTCATGACCGAAAGTTGGAGAGTTGGAATAAAACCTCTTCCTGCTGTAGACACTTGGGATGAGGAGGAGCAGCTGTAGACATTTGGGATGAGGGGGAAACCGGGTATTGAGCATGAGCGGAAAGGTCAGCTAGCCCACTAGCCCTTCAGAGACGGATTCGCCGATTTAAACGTATCAGAGATAGCTTCTCCCAGCCTCATGCAGCCGGATTCTCAGAGCTCGGTTACAGTTTGGGCACCAAAATCAGTGGCCAGATTTGCCAGAGCTCAGCACACTGGGGCACAGAACTCTTTTGAAAATCTGGCCCATGGTGACGGTAACGCTTGCTGCCATTTGAGTGCCAAACTCAGTCAGAACTGTAAGGGAAAGTGTTTGTCTCCAGCTCAGAAAGCAGCCGAATGGATTCCACAAGACCCACGCTCCCTCGCCTTCCCAGCAAACTCCCTTTTGGACTGAGCCCAGGCAGAATCTCTGAAGAAAACCTTGTGGGAGAGAGAGGTAAGGGAGTTAGAATGAAGAGACCTTCTCGTTGGGCTCGCATGATCATCTTGTCTGACCTCCTGCCTAGCACAGACCAGCGGATTTCACCCAGGAATTCCTGCATCTGGCCCAGCACCCTGTGGCTCGACGAGACAATATGATTATAATCAGTCTGGCCGGTGAGGAGATGAAGCCCAGCAGGAGTCAAATACAAATGGAAACTAAAGTCAGCAAAATGAGCATTGCTGAGCTGAACACATGTGTGTGCAACCTACCATCAGCCCAGCTCTGCACACCCAGAACTCGGGGCCATGAAATGCAAACACTTGTAGTAGGTGGCTAATTGTCACATAATTGCTACTGTACTGAGGTAATGCGATAATGCAGAGCATCGTTATAGTCCCAATAAGACAGTAATGTGTAAAAGCCAGATCACTTTACCCAGCAGCCGACCTCAGGAGGAATGACAGAGGCAGAGCGCTGGACAGGACCCCTGGGTTTCCTCCTGAGTTGAAAGTAACTTGAGGGGGCTACTTGGTCAACTGGATTTTATTTTGTTGTGACAACATCCCCGCATCCCAAGTATTTCTGAAGGCAATTGGTGGCGAAAGCGTTCACCCAGGGCTCACACACAATAGTGCTCTTTCTCCCGTTCCCAGTCAGCCCAGAGCTGCCGCATAGCAGCGACACTACCTTCGTTCGGGGTCTCCTGGAGCCCGTTGCACTCCCACACGGCTTCCAGCGAAAGAACTCCAGTGCACTCGGCCTCTCTGGGCTCCCAGGAAGAGAATTCCAGGGCTCTGCGTCTCCTGAGGCTCTTGGACTATCTGCTTTAGTTTTACTTTTCCTGTGCTGTCATGCCTGGTGCGTGCCATTTTATGCTCTGCCGTTAGGGCCTGTCTACACTGCACTCGGGGTGTGATGCACAGTGTGGAGACATAGCCGAGCTAGCTTTGTCTGAGTGACACTAGCAGTGCAGCGGCAGTAGCATGGGCAGTGGCTGCTCCACTCTGTCCCCAGGGGCCTGGGTGAGCAGGGGTAGCCCACGCCAGCCTCCATGCTGCCACAGCTTCACTGCTATTATTACCTGAGGTAGCTTTCATCTAGCTAGAGAAGATACAAATGGCCACACTGGCTCAGACCAATGGTCCATCTAGCCCAGTATCCTGTCTGCCGACAGTAGGCAGAGGCAGTTGCTTCAGTGGGAGTGAACAGAACAGGGCAGTTATAAGTGATCCATCTGCTGTCATGCACTCCCAGGGTCTGGCAGTCAGAGGTTAGGGACCCCAGAGCATGGGTTTGCATCCCTGCCCATCCTGGCTAATAGCCATTGTTGGGCCTATCCTCCATCAACTTACCTAATTCTTTTTTTAACTCAGTTACACTTTGGTCCTTCACAACAGCCCCTGGCAAAGCTAGAGCGAAGCTGACTCGGATATGTTGATGCATGTTGCCGTCGCACCGCCCAACAGCAGTGCAGACAGACTCTCAGAGGCACAGCACCAAACTTGCAGCTCTTTAACCCTGGGCTGCTCTGGGAGTGACCGGCCCCCAGTGTAACTAGCCCCTGGAGGTCTGCTGTAAGTTACCTCGGCCCTGCCTGGGCTGCCTCGGAGGAGCTCTGCCATTGCTCAGAATCCCCACAGCGCTGTGTGCTCTGGCCCTGCCATTGGCCTGCCCCCATTGCCAGGGACCGCATGGGGGGAATTGTTCCCAGGTTGGGTAAGGGCCAAGGGGCTGTCGCAGGATGGAGCCTCCCTCTTCTGGATCTGTGCTGTTTCTATGCCCTCAGACGTGCTAAAACGTAAACCTGCTTTCCCATCCATGTGTGAGGCCGAGCCCTATGGCGAGCCCTGTGATCCCTATCATAACTGGGGACGGGGTGGGCGAGGGCTGGCCCAGTCCTGCCTTGTTCAGCACACCCCGAAACCAGCCTGGAGGCGATGCAGGAGATGGCCCCGAGCCCGTACTTTTACACAACAAAGTCAGGGGGAGCTGCGGCAGCACCTGTAGCTTTGATCATATGCCCTGAAAGGAAAGGCACTGAATGTTCATGTGATGGGTGGTCAGCACCGGGGGCCAGAGTGCACTGCATTAGGGCCCCAAGCCAGGGTCCATTGGCAGCAGCGCAGACTCTGTAGGCTTTGGATCAGGCCCTCTTGTGCCGTGGCATGATCTCAGTCAGCTGCCCACTGCTGCTTTCTATGCCGGGGTGGGCTCTGGTGCTAGATCCCCCTTGGGCCCATCCCCCTCCCTCGGGGCACTGTGATGTGCAGATTGTGTGATGAGCACTAACGGGGTCTGTTTTCAAAGGTCTTCACTGGGATCTTCACCGCGGAGATGGTGCTAAAGCTCATAGCCCTGGATCCCTACGACTACTTCCAGCAGGGGTGGAACATATTTGACAGCATCATTGTCACCCTGAGCTTGGTGGAGCTGGGCCTGGCCAATGTGCAGGGGCTCTCTGTGCTCCGATCCTTCCGCCTGGTAGGTTGCCCAGTGGCTCTGCTGTGCTGAGGGGCTTCATGGCAAGTGCCATATCCAGAGAAGGGTCATTTCTAACTCCCGGGCGGTGACGCTCACTGAATCACATTGGGTTCAAAGAGCAGGTTGATGCAGCCCAGGTTGAACGTTCCGCGTGCCCTGGCGGAGCTGTTAGCATGGCGGGTGCGAGGAAGGCATGTCTGTACTGTCCATTTTAGATGAAATGGCAACAGCAGCTCCCCTAGCCTTATTGGGGCAGTAGCTAAACTCACAGGGACATCTGCATTCCCTCTGAGCTAATATAGGAACAGCCAGGCTGGCTGGATCAGACCCGAGGTCCGTCCAGACCAGTGTCCTGTCTCTGTCAGAGGCCAGCACCAGATGCTACAGCGAAAGATGCAGGAAGCCATGCAGGAGGTAGGTAGCTATCTGCCCCATGACAGTTTCCTCCTAACCCACAGTGGTTAGAGGTTGGGTTAGGTGTGGAAGCTTTGTACCCCTTCCAAAACACTTGTGTTTTTAGTATTTACCACTATCACTCTGGATACTATTTGAATGCTGTCACTCAGAATCCTGCATCCTCTTGATGTCAGTGATATCTTGTGGCAATGAGTTCCACAGGCCAATCAAGGTTTCTGTTTCCACCTCCTTGCAGTTGCGAGTTTTCAAGCTTGCCAAGTCCTGGCCGACCCTCAGCATGCTCATAAAGATCATCGGCAACTCCGTGGGGGCTCTAGGAAACCTCACCCTGGTACTGGCCATCATCGTCTTCATCTTTGCCGTGGTGGGCATGCAGCTGTTTGGGAAGAGCTATAAGGAGTGCGTGTGCAAGATCTCTCTGGACTGCACGCTGCCCCGCTGGCACATGCACGACTTCTTCCATGCCTTCCTCATCATCTTCCGCATCCTGTGCGGGGAGTGGATCGAGACCATGTGGGACTGCATGCAGGTGGCTGGCCAGCCCATGTGCCTCATTGTCTTCTTGATGGTCATGGTCATCGGGAACCTCGTGGTGAGTTGCTGGCTCATGGTAGCGTCCGTTGATAAAATGGGACCAAAGGGAGAGCAATGGATACTGGGTTAGATGGATCTTTGGTCTGACCCAGTATGGCCATTCTTATGTTCCTATGTTCTTATCTGAAATCCATGTAAGGAAGACGCCCAAGCCATCAAATACTCGCTCTCGGCTCCTCACTCTCTAGCTGCCCAGCCACCAGTTAGTATTGTTATTAGGATAAACATATCCAAGGCGCCATCCCTACAGGATCTGTGCCCCATTACAAATGTACAGAAGTACAACGGTCCTGCATTACTTATCTTAAAGTAGCCCATACAGGCACCAGCTGAGGTTTAGGCCCATTGCGCTAGCTGCTGTACAAACACAGAGCAAAAGACAGTCCCTGCTTTGAAGAGCTTACAATTCAAACAAAGAGAGGGACAGCTAAGGCACAGGGAGACAGGACTTGCCAATGTCCTAGAGAAAGAACCAGGACTAGGGTGGTATATATGGAGATACCATATATTGGTGGGGAGGGATAGCTCAGTGGTTTGAGCATTGGCCTGCTAAACCCAGGGTTGTGAGTTCAATCCTTGAGGGGGCCATTTAGGGCTCTGGGGCAAAAATCTGTCTGGGGATTGGTCCTGCTTTAAGTAGGGGGTTGGATTAGATGACCTCCTGAGGTCCCTTCCATCCCCATGATATACCTATCTCATAGAGCTGAAAGGTCATTGAGTCTAGCCCCCTGCCTTCACTAGCAGGACCAAGTACTGATTTTGCCCCAGATCCCTAAGTGGGCCCCCTCAAGGATTGAGCTTACAACCCTGGGTTTAGCAGGCCAATGCTCAAACCACTGAGGTATCCCTCTCCTGGTAGAACCAAGACTAGAACTTAGGGCTCCATCCCATGACCACACCACCTAACTCCTGCCCTGTGCTCCAGGCTGTTTATTTCTAGCAGCACTTGACTGGGGCCATGTTGCAGCATTGGCTTGTGGGCGAAAGGCCGTGGCAATCTCAAGACTGGATGCTTTTCTAGAAGATCTGCTCTAGGAATGTATTCTGGGTCAGTCCCCTGGCCTGGGCTATACAGGTGATCACAACAGTCCCTTCTGGTCTTGGAATCTAATGGCAGGAGTTTGGGGCATTACCCCTTGGGGGCAGGACTCTGGCTCAGCTGCTCAGGACCAGCAGCAGATTCCACAGCCCAGGGAATGCCCTGCCTCCCGCCTCCTCAGGTTTGCCCCTGGGCTCTGTTGATCTCCATGTCCCTGTTGAACAGAGCTTTGGGGGCGGCACACAAGGAGAGGCTGTGTCTCAGAGTGCCTGGCTTCAGTCCACGTATGGGTAGACAAAAGCGCTGTAAGAGGCCTGGCAGCTTTTGGGCAGCCCCCATCCAACAGCTGGGTGTGTGCACGATGGCTAGGGCTGGGGAGGGGTCTAGTCTGTTTTGCAGGGGGGGATGGTGGACTTTGGGGCAAGGGTGGCTAGAAGTGGACTCTGGGGCAGAAAAGAACATCCCATGAGCAGTTGTTCCCTCCCCTCTCCGCCCCCTGGGTGAATTTTAAAGCCTACCTGCCCCTTTTTGTGACCCCTTGTGGTGAGGCAGATGAGTGCGTCCCCGTGTCTATTTCCACCAAGCCCCTTTGTCTGGGTGGTCTCTTTGTGCTCATCTTCACCAATCTGGGTGTTTCCGGACCATCCCTCTTCTGGTAGGGCACCGAGGTTCCTGGTTTCATCCAGCCTGGGTGTTTCGTTTGTGCCATTCCCCAGCCTCTCCTCTAGCAAAAGCAACGGAGGCTCCATCTGCTCTAAAAGTTCTCTAAAGCTGCTGGGCACATCACGTGGCAGGCGGGTGCTATGGTTTAAAGCTAGGCCTGGATTGTATCCTCTGGGTGTAGCTCACTTCATCAGTTCCCTGCCACTGCAGGGGCCTTCAACATTGGCGCATCTCAGTCCCTTCTATTTTCTGCCTGGGGCACACAATAGCTTAGTCTCCAGTGGGCTGTGATATTTTGGTTTAATTTTGGTTACTGGGTTCAGCATGCGGGTGCTGGGTGGTGTCAGTGACCTGCGATGTATAGGAGGTCAGACTGGATAATCTGGTGGTCCCTTGTGGCCTTAAACTCTGTGATATCCCTGTGACCCGAGGTGCTTAGAGTAGCCCACACTGGAAATGCCAAGGCCAAGGCAGGCTTCAAAAAGGAGAGCTGATTCCCCCAAAACTGGTGGTTAACACTGTAGTTAAATTCACCAACCAGTCGCAGACTGTGCCCCTGATCCCCCACACTGGTTATCAAGAAATCACACAGCCCCCTTTATTACATTCCAGTCGCCAGCTCACAATCAGCAAATTGGTTTGGATCTTACCCAAACTACCACGCTGCCAGCCAATCCTTTAGTATCTAAAACTAACAGTTTTATTCAGGGCTGGCTCCAGGCACCAACGAAGGAAGCAGGTGCTTGGGGCGGCCAATACAAAGGGGCGGCACTCTGTCCGCTATTGGGGCAGCCCATCTGGGTCTTCGGCGGGAATTCAGCGGCGGGTCCCTCAGTCCTTCACTTCTCTTTGAGCTGCCGCCAAAGTGCCGCCGAAGAGGAAGAGAGGGAGCGAAGGACCCACCGCCGAACTGCCGCCGAAGAATGGTGCTGCCGCTGATCTGCTTTTTTTTTTCCGCCGCTTGGGGAGGCAGAAAACCTGGAGCTGGCCCTGGTTTTATTATAAAAGAAAAGAACGAGAAAAGAGTTGTTAAATAGTCAAGCAATCAGATACATATATATGACTTCAGAGTCCACATATCAGGTTCTTAGCAGCATTGGTGAGTTTGCTGGCTTGTAAAGTCCCTCTGGAACACATCCACAGCTTGGATAGGTCTGTCAGTCCTTCGTTCAAAGCTTCAGTTTGTAGAGAAGTTACTCGAGAGCTGAGAAGCAGGATTGAAGATGAAAAGGAGGTGATGCAGCTGCCTTTTTATATCTTTGCCAATTGTCATGTGGCTTGTGCATCCTTTGTCCCAAACACAAGCTCACAGCACATGGCATGGAAGAGCACATGGAGTCCCATGTCCACGGCCATGTCCTGCTGATTCATAGGCATAGCCCCTGGCTTCTCTCAATGGGTTCATTGTATAGATGATTTCCCATGATGGGCTATCGAACAGGCTGGACAGTGCTGATGCCAATCTGTCTGTGGGTGTCACCCAGCTGCACAGCACAAGTTTGAGATATCAATATACCACACATATTTATAACTCATGATACAAAGATGATACATTCATATAAGCGTATAGAATCATAGAAGATTAGGGTTGGAAGGGACCTCAGGAGGTGTCTAGTCCAACCCCCTGCTCAAAGCAGGACCAATCCCCAACTAAATCATCGCAGCCAGGGCTCTGACAAGCCGGGGCTTAAAAACCTCTAAAGATGGAGAGTCCACCACCTCCCTAGGTAACGCATTCCAGTGCTTCACCACCCTCCTAGTGAAATAGTGTTTCCTAATATCCAACCTAGACCTCCCCCACTGCAACTTGAGACCATTGCTTCTTGTTCTGTCATCTGCCACCACTGAGAATAGCCAAACTCCATCCTCTTTGGAACCCCCCTTCAGGTAGTTGAAAGCTGCTATCAAATCCCCCCTCACTCTTCTCTTCTGCAGACTAAATAAGCCCAGTTATAGAATAGAATATCAGAGTTGGAAGGGACCTCAAGAGGTCATCTAGTCCAACCCCCTGCTCAAAGCAGGACCA